TACATTTTGGCAGTCTCTGTCCGAGGGGCCACGTATGACTTGGCTATGGAAACAGCTGTGGTTGAATAGTCCTTCCTCATAGAATAAGGATACTTCCTTTCAGGTCCAACATCTGTTTGGGAAAGAGAATTGTGGAGATATAAAAAAATAATTATGGCTGAATAAATTTTGAGAAATAACGTCATTTTAGATATTCTTCCCCCCAAGAGGCAAGGATATACATATTCCAAGAAGGAATCATCTAAGAAGAACTCTAGATGAAAATCTAAAATTTTCATCCTGAAAGTTATTTAGACTTAAAATTCAGCCAAGTATTCTCCTTTTATTTATTGTTTTTCCTGATGAAGAGAAGGATTCCCTTGGTTTTTTAAGTGATAGTTTTAGAAACCGTTATATTCTTTCACAACAATTATTTGGCTTGCCTCTCAGTCTACTTCTCTGTTTAATTCTAGATGTAAATTTAATAGATTGAGTGAAGTAAGACATATAAGATTAAGACACATCAAAATAATCATGATGTAAATTTAATAGATTGAGTGAAGTAAGACATAAGATTAAGACACATCAAAATAATTATATATTTAGGTATTAGACACACTTGTAGCTTTTCTTTTCAACAACTGTAACACTAATTGGGTAATGAGGTTCAAGTATTGCAAATCGGTTGTCCTTGAACAACTGAAATTTTTAATGGTAGGGATCAAGTAAACAACATTATTTTGCCCTGGTGAGATGTGTTTCCATTGGGTTGGGAAGAATGATATTGGAGGTGAGGAAGTAGGCTAATTTACTTTGTTCTTACCTTTAAACAGGTATAAGCAGCATGTGAGGACAGCCCCAGCCAAAAAGCAACCCAGAGATCCAGCCATTCCAAGCCAACAGGACCAACCAAATTTATATTGGATGCCAAGAAATATATTGTGCAAAATCAGAGAAGAACGTTCCACATAAACATCAACGGCATACCACACAGAGCCAACAATTCCCGGAACACCTGAAAGAAAGGAACGATGTCAAAAAAAAAAAAAAAATCAAGCAGGCCTTTTCCAGATTCAAATCCAAGGAGATCTGCCTGGTACCCAAAATTGATGGCATTATTTACAAGGATAATAACAATAGTATGGATTCACGGACAACCCAAATTTTGGTCACCTCTTTTCTGTCTTCCTCTGCCTTCTATCTTGTATTTCTTCCAATTTAAATCTCAGTTTACACATAAATAGAAATACAAAAATAAAATAGTGCAGTGCTCATATGCATGTGGAAACCTAAAATGGTCACTGTGGTTTTCTTTAATTTTCCTATCTTTCCAATGTTATTTTAGTGTTGTAGAAAGAAGATATTAAAAAACAAAAGAAAAAAGAGAACAAACACAAAATCAAAGGCAATACAAAGTATATGTTCATTCTATGTTGATTTTTTAAATTGAAAGTATCTGTCTTTAAGAACATTCTGTTATGTCCCTATACCACCCAGACTCATGATTGAAGCTATATCAGCTATATAATCAGCCCCCACAAGGAAACTATGTTTTTATAGTCATTCATTATTAGTGTTTGGGGATTAAAAACAAATAACTGAAGTAAAAATTGTCTTTCTTTTAAAATAAATCCTTATCTATCACTCCCCACATCACATAAGAATAAACTAAGAAATTTTATTCCTTTTAAATAAAACTCACTACTCATATATTAGTCTATCTGACAATTGACTGACTTGAAATGATGCCACCAGGGTCCTTTGTTTTAAAGGTATAAATTGCATGTCATGGCTGAGATGAAAGAAAAGAAGATGGGGAGTCGGGAGATAAAAGGCTATGTGAAAAGGGTATTTCTAAAATTTATAGTGTCTAAAAAAAGTTTACATTTTTTTCCTAGGAAGTTTGTGATTTCCATTCAAGCCACCATTTCATTGCATTCTTCTCCCAATTGTTTAATGCAAGAAATTTAAGAAGAACCAGATCATGAACATGTAACCTTTAGATAAAAGGGTATAAATTATCATGCCTTTTCTATAATACTGTAACTCACAGGTTTAAAATGGAAATCCTTTTTTTGAAATTTAGAAACAGATTTCATATATCTCTATCTATATCTCTATCTATATCTCTATCTATATCTCTATCTAGATTTGTATCTAGATATCTATATCTATATCTATATCTACAATCTATATCTATCTACATATATCATACTAATTTCAAATGATGGTTCCAAGACTTTGGCCATGTCTGACAATTTAATTTAGTCATTTATTCAACCATTCCAGCAAGAATTTTCTTTATTGACTTAGTTTTCTTTAAATTTAACTCATTTTGTTGTTTTATAAATATAGAATATCTAGCAATGTCTCAAAAAGTATTCTGGGGACGGCTGAGTGGCTCAGTAGGTTAAGAGCTCACTCAAGAGTTTGAGCTCTGAGCAACAGCAGTTCGATGCCGGGCCCGAGCTGAGCTGCCGCTAAGCTGCCAATAGGTAGTAGGATGGTTCAGCTAAAAAAAAAAAAAAAAGTATTCTGGAACAAAATTGTATAGCATTAAATGATGTTTAAATAAAAAAAAACATTATTATATACAAAAGCTTTATTTTATCACTAGACTGGATATGGGAATGAATGTCTTAAAAAGAAAAAAAATTACTAAATTCTTGTGACTTTTTAATATAATCTAGGATCATCAGGGCCTTGACTCAATGTATGTGTGTGGAAAAATCAGGGAGGCCTGGCTTTGAGTGTGTGATGGATTAGGCTCCCTGCTATGAGCTTGCTCTGTTCCCCTTGGATCTTCACAGTAGCAATTCAGAGTAGATATGATTGCTGGAAGGTCAGCCTGTTTTGCAGATCAGGAAACGGAGATAGGTTAAGTAACTTGTCTAAGGTCACATATTACACTATATATCTCCAGGTATTTTGAGTTCCAAAATCCTTATTTATTCATTATCCTACACTGCCTGGTCAGGTTCCCACTTAACATTTGTTTTGCTAACTTTTTACTGCTACCATAATGAGGATGATTTTCTCTCTGGAAGGTGTTCCTGTTGGTTTTCAGTCTTCCTGTCCTTTGATTTCTTCCACAGATACTTCCTTTCAATTTGCATTGAGATCCAAAGAAGACATCATGTTGTGATAGAGGAATTCCACACTTTGAAGTTGATGGCAGATCTGAGTAAAATATCAATTTTGCTGTTTCATGAATAAACACCATGTAAAGTGCTTCTTGACTTGTGGTTCATTAGCCACACTTGATTTATTAGTCTTCAGAACTCCATTTATTCACCTGCTTCTTAAGTGGAGATAATAACATGATCTGTTTATTGTGTCATTTTTATCAAATGGGTTGGCATGTGAGAAAAGTTTAACATAGAACTTGGCACAATTTAGTTCATTGCTAAAAAAAAAAATTGGTGGGGGTGGGTACAGGTAAGAAGATGGTGACTTGGGGCTTACTTGAGGATTTAATCTCAGAATAATCACAAAAGAAATTATGTTTTTAATTAAAGCATTATTCAGCTGCCTTGGATGGTTAAAAATTAATTTGAGGACTTCGATAAATCTTGATCTGCTTATTAACAAAAAAAGATTATCTGATTCCAAAGCAAAAGAAAATAGGGCTGGTGGATGTGCTCTTTATTCCTTCAGCCCAGAAAAGCAAGTCACGTATGATCCTAAAATGAACTGCTTCACAACAGCACCCTTCTCCTTCACCTTAAGACCTAAATGAGCATCTCTACCTCTATCACTAAATCCAGACCAATACCTGCGATTAGCAATGTGGTTCCAGCAACAAAACAGAGGCGGACTTTGATATATGGCTCATCAGGGAGGAATTTCACGCAGTCAAGACCAAGGAGCAGGGTGATAAATCCAAACCCAGCTAGAACATCCGCAGTAATCATCAACGCTCGAGTTACCACCAGCTTCACTGGAAGATCAGGGCATGTGGTTACAGCATAGTCAGATGAAGGAAACATGTTAGCTCACAGAAGTACATTAAAAACAAAACAAAACATAAAACCACATACAGTAACACAGGCCACTGAAAGAATCATGCATTTAAATTTGCATGAACTTGGAAATGAACTGCCTTAAATTTTTCATAAAACACAAAAATATTATGAGGCTATTGACATTATTATTTGCTTAAGCACTTATTATTACTTAGTCTTGTTGGTCTCCTAGCAAAAATGCATGGCATTTTTAAAATAAATGTTTCCCTGGCCAGCTGAGTGGCTCAGCTGGTTGTGAGCTTGCTCAAGAGTGTGAGCTCTGAGCAACAAGGTTGCCAGTTCTATTCCCAGCCCGAACTGAGCTGCCAACAGGTGGCAGGATGGTTCAGCTAAAAAAAATAAAAAATAAAATAAATAAATAAAGAAATGTTTCCTTTTTGTCTCTTGTTCTGGAATGAGTACTGTTCACAAGTATTACAACTGAACGCTAAATTGAAAGTAGAGTATCTGTTCTGAGGAAGTTACTGAATAAATATTTAATAAAGAAATAATCACTATATTTGAAGTTTTATTGAAAAATGTTTTCAATAATTTGTTAAAATTTGGTATAGGGAAACAGAATAAAATATTTTAGGAAGCGTTTTACCAATTTAGGCTGGTGGAGTCATCAGCAGAACTTTAAGATGAGGAGCTTGTGTCATTAAGTAGAAGGCTATTTCTGGAAGGCAGATCCTAAGCTCTTTCAGCCCTTCAAGCCATGATCAAAGGAGGGTTAAGTAATTCCAAAGCCAGAATTACTAGTATTTTACTTACTAGAGAGGAGTAATAAAATATATTCCTTTAATAATACAGGAATTATGTTTTATAATTCATAATGATTAGGGTTTCCATGCATTGTAAATAATTTTTCCCCAATGGTGAAGTAACTTTAGGGCCTATTGAGTAATAGGTTTCTTGTAAAAATGTGGCCAATTATTCTTATATAAATAAAAAATATTTTTATGACCCATGTAAGAGAATATGAAGGCAAAAATCAGCTTTGCCTTAATAGGTGAGTACACTATATATAATCATTATCATTAATATATGAGAATATATTTCTTTCTAGAATGGAATTTTTAAGTCATCCAAATGTAACATTCTTTAAAATAATTTAGGCTCAAATTTAAAATTTAGGCCAACTCTAAGGTTGATTTTTCTCAAAATTGAGGAAAGAAAAAAATATGTAGCTCATTAGGTAATATCAGTTTTTATATTTCAACAGATACTCTTGATCCTCAAAAGGTATACATGAGTGGGCATCCTGCTCACCACCCCTAGCCAAGGGGTCCCACATTTTGGAGTGCCCCCCTTGAAATTTAAGTCCCGTTTTGGAACCTGGGACAACCAAGGGACATGACTGCCATCTAGAAGGGGTGTCCTGAAATCATTGCATGTCCTTGACTTTCCCTCTTTGACCCTCGATCTCACACAGTGTGGTTCAGATGCTATGCGGAACTCCAGGGCTCATACCGATGGGGTCATACAGGGCCCCATGGACAGCCCAGTTACAAGAGGGCAGCTCTACAGGCAGCTTGCTAATGCTGGCTAGCCAGAAATTTCTTTTTGAGCATTGTGTGAGATTTGGCTGCCAGAATAATATTAAATACTCTAATGGGGGAGGAGGGCTCAAATTAACTATATCAACAGGAGCCCTGAAACAACGTATTTATCTGGGTCTGCATATTCCTAGGTATACAGCAATGGGAAAGGTTATCAAATTTTGAATATGTAAAAGATATCAAAGACTAAAAATAGAATCCTACTTTCTTATAGGTAACAGTCTAACTTAAAAGGTATAATCACATGATTTTCTTCAAATACATTTTAATCTCTGTTGTGTTTAAGTATAGGATAGAATTTTTTTAAAGAAATGTAATGGATCTTTTAGGTATTATTTGAAACTAGTAGGTAAGAATATATCCAAAGAAAAATGTGAGATAGCATAAGCAAAATATAAAAAAAAGAACATTAAAATATAAACAACGGGTTTCTCTGTGCAGTAGGCTTAGGAGTGATTTTATCTTCTTCTTGCATAAATGTACATAACCATATTTAAAAGGTTGAAAGCTTTCATCTTTCTTTTTTCTTCTTCGCTCTAACCATATGACCGCATTTCTGGAATAGCCTAGTGTCCACACAAATTTCCATTCTTATTGATCACATCATGCTTCTTTGTAGGTAGAACTAGGTTAGCACAGGGAGAAAAAAAAAAAGAGAAAGAACTAAGAAGTATTTTTTAACAAATAAAATAAAGGCTTTATGAATTATGTTAAAAATGTTTCGGGCACTCCAGCCCTAAATGGCAGAGGAAGATATTTTAGAGCACTGCTTCTTTTAAGTGCTTTTCCCTGGATGGAACACCTGTGCAGGGGAAAAGTCACATTCCAAGGTTTATTCTGCCTTTTTCTGCAGCGAAGGAGTTGTCATGTAGTACCATCACCTGTCAATTACTTTTAAAGAGACTAAAACCAATCTGCTTTAATAACAAGACCAGTATTTGTTGGCACAATCAATGCTCTAAAATAAATAAATAATGGGTAAGGAGAAGAATTCAGAGAACCAACAATAAGATTTTTTTTTAATCTATGAAATCTCTTTATTCCTAGAAACTTGAGCCTTGGTAACACCTAATTATAATTTAAAGCTAAAGATAAGGACGGTAAAGGGGCTGGTTTTACTATTCCCACTAATAATGTGTCACGTATATTGATTTTTTTCATACCCTGATTCTAGAGTCGGTGTATCTCTCTTTGCCTATCTCCCTATCTGTTTTTCTGTCTCTTTCTGTCTCTGCCCCTTTATCTCCACCTCTCTCTTTCTTAGCAAATCTTCCATTGAAATACTGTAAACCTCCTGTTTGAACTAAGTCATAGCAAAAATATATCTCTGAAATGCTTTTCATCTAACTTGTCAATTCTAATCATAAAATCACAACATCCTGAAGAATTTATTTCAATTTTAAAAGTGTTTACTCTAAACCTAGTGTGTATAAGGCACTATGCCGGGTCTTTGGAGAAAAGCAGAGATGAATAAGATAGCATTTTTATCCGAAAGAATTTATAAATACATGGGAAAAGATAAAAGATGTTAAAATGTTTCACTTCACATTTCAGGGATAAACAAAATTTCCAATCAAAATATTTCAAACCGGACAGGACCTTAACATAGTACTGTAGAAAACAAAACCATACAATGGAAACCTGAGTCAATTTTCTTTGGTGGTCCCTCCCTCCAAAGGGGTGTCTAAGGCGTACGTACAGGGGTGTTCAGCAAGGATAGAATCGTACTCGTCACAGGTGCGAATTCCATCAAAAGCATTTGTGACACACTCCCACCAGAGGCCCCGGCATTTTGTGCTCACCTAGATGTTGGAGAAGACACAGTGTGAAACAATTCACGCAGACACACTTCAGTTCCCCATGATCAAAGGAAGAACGTGGCTCTTGTGAGTTTGATAGCAAAGTACAGTGGTTACAAGCGTGATCGGAATTCCATTTACAACAAACACAATGCATTTTAGAGTGTTTTCCCTTAAGCACTAATAATTAACGTCTTTCCCCACTGGGAAATGAATTCACTTCCTGAATAGAGGTGGGGAGGGATGAGTCATGCCTAAGATGGATAAAATCAATTACATGCATGCAAATGTCTATGACTGGTTCCATCATGGTGTCATAGTTTAACGCGGAGACAATTCATTTCACTTTTCTGTGCTGACATTTACTCACCCCCCCCCCACAAATCAATACAATAATAGGTGATAACAGTTGACACCTTGAGTCCATTAAGAATGTACATTAATTTTTCTTTACTGGGTTGAAGAACACGGTTCCATGAAGAAAAGTGTTATTATATATAAGATTCATAAATTTAAAATAATTGTCACAGAAAGCTATACATAAAAACACAAGTAAGTGAAATATAAAGATCGCATGGCTCCTTTCTCCCTGCTCTTCTGACAGACTACAAATGCTTAAGCTACAATATGGATGTAAACAAACTGAGCATTAGTGTCATACGATCTGACAGCTATAAACCACTTTTACTTAGAAATGCTGTACAGATGACTCTGTGTCCACTTAGAGCTAAAAGCTACCAGGGCCCTGAGCCTTCCCATACTTTATCTATAAACTGTAAGTCACAATAGATTTCTTAGAATTGTAAACAAGCCAACATTACATAGTTTCCTGTATTCTAAACAGCTCATGCATATGAAACAGCTCATATGATTGTTTCTTCTGACTCAATTACAGATTCACATTACCTTGGAAACCTGGAAATAGCTCAGTAAGATTTAATAAAAAATTATCTTGTAAAATGAAAACTTAAATTTTTTCTCAAAGACAGAATAAACAACAGAGCAGAATGGGAAGAGAAATGCAAAGGCATGGGGATTATAACCAATGTGGAGAAGGAAGGAAGGAGTATGAAACACTTTGGTTTGCAAAAGAAAATCCTATCAGGGAATACTTGTGCTACGGCACTCTGCCCCATGTTCTGCTTGGAGGTGTGTTGTGTGCCAGACAAAATCCTACTGCTCACTACTCTGTCACAATTTTGAATGTAGGACTTCTATGATCACTTTCTATAAGTGGTAGTAATGAATAATTCTATATTGAGTCTATATTATGAAGCAGTTACTGCTTAAGTTATTATTTCATTTATTCCTTCAAGGACCCTGTGAGATATCATTGTTATTGTCTATTTCACAAATAAGGAAAATGAGGCATAGGAAAGTTAAGTGATTAACCCCTTGAAAGTATTGTTAATAATGAAGGAGACAGGACTCAAACACAGCAGTCTGTGTCTATGCCCTTAAGCATTGCAACATACTTAACACCCATTTAAAAAAATTCTAAGTCCATTTTAGGCTTAGAAATCTACTCTAGAAATGGAAATTAAAACATAGCTTTGGATGAAGTCATAAGTCCTAATTTTATTCTCATCCCACAGCCATAATTCTAAAAAACCTCACTTTGGCTTGCTCTTCTTAAAGTTAAATCTGGAAGTGATGTTCTGAATCAAGTATTTATCTCAGGAAGCTGAGGAATCAGAGACCAACAATGTAATGAAGAAAACCCATCTCATGAAATTTCTAAAGAAGAATGTGAATATGTAAAGTTACGTATGTATAAAACATAAGCTATAGTTGAAAACATACAGACTTTAAATATAAATTGACACTGTTATTACTGTGTTGTATTGTGGGCAAGACCTTACCTGTTTTGAGCTTCAGTATCCTTATCTGCATAAAGGAGATAATGCTAGAGTGGTTATAAGAATTGAAAACTGTAAACATACAGAATATAAATGATATATACTCTACAAGTGATAATATAATTACTTAAACATCATAATAACCTGAGTCGTGACTGTGTTCAGCTTTACTAGCCATGACAGTGGAGAAAGGTAGATGTAATGAGCTGAATGGTGGTCCCCAAAAAGATATGCCCATGTCCTAATCCCCAAAACCTGAGAATGTGACCTTATTTGGAAAAAAGGATTTGCATATATAATTAAGTTAAGAATTTGAGATACCAAGATCATCTCAGATCACCAGGGTGGACCCTAAATCTAATGACAAGTGTCCTTATAGGAGACAGAGGAGAGACACAGATGGAAGAGAAGGAGGCAGTATGACCACAGAGGCCGAGATTGGAGTGATGTGGCCACAAGTGAAGGGATGCACACAGCCACCAGGAGCTAGAGAGGTAAGGGACAGGTTCTCAGCTAGAGCCCTCAAAGGCAGTGCAACCCTGCCAACCCGTCAATTTCAAACTGCTGGTCTCCAGAACTGTGAGATAAATCAAGTTTCCTGTGTTAATGTGGGCAAAAAGGGGGCTGTATAAAATATCTGACAGGTCCGTGACAAAAACTAACCTGACAGGGAGATCTTATCATAATTTCCTATCTGGGGATGTCATGGTGGGGCAGTCACGCCCCCAGTGTAGAACTTTTTAATGAAAGGCTTATCTTTGCCTTAAGCAAGCCCTGTTCATTGTTTTTGTGCCTCTACATTAACATACACCTTTGAAATGCCTCTTTTTCAGGCCCCTTAGAAGCCAGAAGTGTAACCACCCTCAGGAGATCATATAATCTACCCTGTAATCTAATCCCTGCCTTGCTTTCTCCCACCCACATAATCTTCCTTACATTTCCTCCTTAATTGCAAATTAAGAAACTGCAAAATTGTCATTCTCTGGAACACTTGCAATCTTGCTTCCCAGCAAACTTGTCAGTTTGGCTCAAAAAAACTCTTATAAAAATTCTCTGCAGGTTTGGATATTCCTACATGGACATTAAGCCACCAAATTTGTGATAATTTGTTATGGCAGCCCTAGGAAAACAATACAATAGAGACAATTTGTACTGAACCATTATACTATAAAAGAAATATGGTTTAACTCATAACATAACAAAAAAGAGACTTTCTTCTAGCTTATTGCCTGTCAGTCTCTCCCTTAATAGAAACACCATGGATCCAGTTTATTCCAACTTGAGCTAGGTTGTGTGGATTTGAAGTTCCTGCTCTATAATCAGTGAGTATCCATCATTTTCTTCTAATGCAGCCACTAAAACAAACTAACAAACTCAATATGGTCATTCTTGTTCTATACGAGGTTATTTAGAAATTAGCCTGAGATATATGCGAGAATACTAATTTTACATAAAGAGCATTTCTTTTCTTGCCAAAATAATCCAGTAGTGGTGTCATTTTCCAGGCTATTTATCATTTACCTGCAATGACCATATTTAGAAAAGCAATGAGCTCATTAGAGGAAACAAGGAATCCAATTTCATTAGGTATTAATGCTCAGGGGCACGTTATTAGATTGCTTGGTATTCACACTCAGTTAAGGTATGTGAGAATAGTGGCTGTAATTAACTCAACTTCTGTGTTAATGTAGCACTTACTGGAGACACCCTTAAAGGTGCCTTTGTGCACAAAAGACAAGGTTAAAAGATTTCATGTTGGCATATTTAAGAAAGCCCTCCTTGTTTATAATACGTAGTCTTCACGTACTTTTCTCTGTGTTGTACAATGGCTTATTAAGAACTTTTTAAAAGGCAAGCAGATCTAAGTTCTTAAAGGTTTTAAGACAGGTTCTTAAAAAGCAGACCAATGCTTGAAATATTACAGTTAACTTTTCTAAAAGGGCACAAATGCAAAATGTTCACTAATAAATTTTATTTCACAGGGTCGTCTAAAATAGAGTATTCCAAAATTAAGCTTTCATCTTTTAACATGTGATTTACATATGAATAAATAATATAGAATGCCATACTAAAGAGACTTTCATATTATTTCAGTGAACATCTATGGATCCTGGAGTGAGGAGGTGATAATCTCCTAAATGGAGAGAAGTCAGTGTGACAATAAAAGTACAAGTCACAAACATGAAGCCAGCCAAAATCTCTTAATATTAATTAGTTGCCAATAGTAAAACAGAGATGTTTACAGAACAGTCCAGATTTCTGCCTTCCCTTGGAAATTTGATGAGTCTAGCCACCTGGAATTCCTGGTCCCATGTAGCAACAATTACCATGAGCTGAGTAGCTACTCCCATTAGGTGGGATTTGTGTTCACACGTTCCTCACTAGTCCTGTGCAGTCTGCTTCTCTTACGGGTGACTTCCTGGTTCCCATAGGCATTTGAGTTTTCCCCTCCTGGTATATAATAATGAGAATAACTCACTATTGCTTTCAACTTGTCAAATGTCTACCTGTTATTCAAGTCCCACTTCCAGTATACTCCTTCTTTTATGAGATTCTCCCAGTCTCTCACTAATTGTTTATATTTCTATAGCATTTACAATAATGAATTATCTTTTTATATGAGTATTTATGTATATCTGTCTTCTAAGTTTGTCTGTTGTCATCTTTCAAACCATGTTCATTGAATGACTATCATCCTTCAGTCAACAGGCTAACTAAATGCTGGGGATACAGCAATGACCAAGACAAGTATATCACTTTGCTTCAAGGAGCTTACAGACCCTCCTTCTTGGTACACAATAGATGCTCAATAGATGTTTATTGAGAGGAAAAAAATCTGTCAATTTATCTAATCCACACACATTAACTCCCATATGAACTCTGACAGAGATAATGGTTACTGACATAATGTATGCACTGATGCTTAATATGTATTTTTAACTTGACTGAATAGACTAGAACAGCTGAGTACAAGAGTCAAATGATTATTGCTTAAACTAGAGAGTTTGCAACTGATTTGGTGTGAGCCTAGACCCTGTCTATTCAACTGGCTCTGGAAAGTATTTACTCAGGATGAGCAGGATACCACTCAGAAAAAGCTTTCAGAAACCATGTTGAGGATGACTCTTCCCAGTTGAGTTTATA